AGAAAAGGTTAAAAAGTTGGTTAAAAATTGAAAAGCAATCTCAGATTTTAGCTAAACTAGATAGAGCACGTCCTAAAACGTATATTCTGAAGGTTTCAGCTTTTCAAAATCAATTATTTCAAGTTATATCAAGTGTTTGATGTGAAAAAGGTTTTTATTGTTATCGAACTACAAAAAAATTAGATTTTATTGAATTGAAAAACAATTCAATATTTTTTGTTCCGTAATAATAAAAGGTTTTTTGCACAGGGTACATAACTCATTATGCTGCAGTTTTTTACTGTAGAACAATGTCTGAAAATGCTTCCTTCGAGAGATTTGTTCAGTAATACGAAAATTTGCTGTTCAAGTCCCACTATTTGGATACATTTAAGCTTAAAAATTTATGAACGTGAAATAATTGAGTTTGAAAAGCTGAAACCTTCAGAATATACGTTTTAGGACGTGCTCTATCTAGTTTAGCTAAAATCTGAGCTTGCTTTTCAATTTTTAACCAACTTTTTAACCTTTTCTAAATTTAACTTAAACATTTCATAGCTCCTCTAGAATTTGTTATAAAAATTTTAAATGTTTAGAATATGTGTAACCTGATGTGTTCTAGAAACTGACAAACTATACGCAAATTTTTTGAGAGGAGATCCAGCTTAAATGTAATGGCAAGGAAGGTAGACAATTTTGATGTTTTTTTCAGCTTTCTCGCAGCAATTACCGTTGGTCAATCGAAAATATCATCGAGGGCTGATTAATTTAGGAAATACATGTTATTTTAACTCAGCTCTACAAATGATGGCAAGCACATCTGGTATTACAACACTGTGGCCCTCAAAAACGGACTTGAACGAAAATGAACATAATCGAACAGAAAACGCTGTGTTTTTAGGTAATGTGCAGCGTGCATGTGTTACTAGAATATGTGAATGAGATTTTTTTTCTCTTTTTTTATCAAAATAGATTTCGTTTTCTTTAGACGCAAAAGTATGCTTAAGTGCAAAGTTGGTGCACTTTTATATGAAGTTCGTCAGCAAGGAACGGGAGCTATCAATCCCAAAGATTATTTTAAAGAAATGAAAGTATTAGATCCTACCTTTATTACTGGTGTTCAACAAGATTCCGATGAATTGCTGAAAAACTTGTATCCTAAACTCATTGAAGATGGTGCCAGTTGCGCCAGATGCAAACGACATATCGCACAAAGTTCATCTAATTCTTCTGATATACTTCAGAATTTGTCTACTATCGATCGCGTATTTGGATTACAGTTAAACAGCGCGCTAATATGTGAAAATTTGGCTACTGAATACACTATAGCAGTAGCTTTATCGTCTAACACAATCGTAGGATGTTTAAAAAATTATTTCGGAATGGTAGAATTGGAAACTCCAGCTGTATGTGATCTATGTCACGGAAGAAGTCTGAAGTGGAAAAAACTGTCGATTTCATATTTACCAAATAATTTAATAGTCACTCTGAATCGTTTTGATTTCGCAACAGATAACATACGTAAAATTTTGTCAGAACGCAAAATCGTCGAACAGATCGACATCAACGAATATGTTCATCATAGCATATCAACGACAGGATCAAACAAGATATGTTATAATTTATACGCTGTTATTGTTCATAAAGGGGTAAACTGTTATCAGGGACATTATTACTCATATTTGAAAAAATCTGACGAAAAATGGATAAAAATTAGTGATGCTGATGTGCAGGATGCAACGTTCAAAGATATTCAAAGTGATAATAAAGATATCTATATATTATGCTATGAGATTCAGTCAAATATTCACTCAGGTATTAACGATACATATTGTGTACTGTAAACTTCAATTCCTCAACTATTCACTTAAAACTCCTCTAAAGTAGTCATTACCAGCTTACATTCAATCACACAAGCGTGTCACTGCAAAAATAATCATCTGCCTACATCTATAGATCTCATTAGATTTTTTGTCCACTTATAATATATTCAAATTCATTAATTAATGTTGATAAAACTACTCTGCATATACTAAGGTACTCTTCTAATGTGCACTTTTTATTTTCAGACGCAGTCACGTTAGCTGTACAAGATACCAATGAAACTCGTGAAACAACTACTTTTTCTCAAATACATACAAATGGTAGACAGAATGACAACCTGGAAAATTCTGACATTACTATACAAAGCAGAGAGGCGAAGCGTAGTTCTGCTGCTCAACAACATGTACAGTTGACGACGAACAAAGGTGCAAAAACATTGCAAATTTTTTCAATATGTTTTCTTTCTCAGGTTTAACTGCAAAAAGATACTAACGACGGAAGTAGCCTAACTGATAAATCATTTTTTCAACGAAACCGAGTGGACTATAGGTAGTCGACGATGCGGATTCCGAATATCACCATGAATGCTGCTGCTAGGCCTTCAAAGACCGGTCTTCTAGAAAACCAGTTTTCGAGAAACTCTAAAGAACAACCAAAAGCTTTCTTAATAAGGCTTAATTGTAGTTCATAAATTTCTGATTAAAACGAGGCATCTCCCAGCTCTACACGACCTTTCTGTGCAAAGTTATAGAGTTTACAAGAAAAGTCCTAAATGTTCATTGTCACCTCAGAGCTACAGAAAGAAAAACGAAAAATGAATTT